TGAGGACAAGGGAAAAGGTCTCCTAAGTGACTGTTTCCGCACTAAAGTTTTCCCTCCTATTGGAGGCCAGGTTGACCTCCAGTGTTATTCTTTCTGTCATCAGGCAGTTTAGAGGTTGGAATACACCTCTTCTCTATACTTGGATTGGAACCTAGGATTGTTAACTACATGATCCAGAAAAAATCTTTGAAGGAGTTATGCTGTACTATGTCTTCACTATTATGTTTTAAATTCTTCAGTAGTTAAAAGATCACAAGCTGTAACATGACCCCGGACTCAATTTTTCAACCAAAAGATTTCTGAAGTACTGCAGATCAGGGAGTTGGGGAATAATATTTGCTAGTCATTGGCCTAGGTAAGCAGTTGTGGCAGGACCCCAAAGAGTCTCCTCAGCTGCCAGTTCTTGACATACTCTGCAGCTGAGAGAGTGCTACAGATGCCATTTCCTAGCACCCCAATCTGTAATATCTCAGAATAAAAATTTCCAGAGTGAAATGGTAGGCTTTTCAGGGTTAACATCAGATGTAACTACAATGACAGAGCTTCATTGTTGTAATTATGTTCAACAATGCAGAATCTCAGCCAGTGATTTTGATTGCTTATTTTATTTTCTACTTTACTTTTTAAAACCCTTTGGAGAAAGGCTGGAGGTAAAAGAAATAAATAGCCCACCCACTTCAAGTGCTCACATTAGACATACTTGAGTCTTTAGGTTGGGAAGTTGGAATCCTGAGGCAAAAAAAGAAATGTTCATCCACTTGAACTTCCAATCCAAGTATAGAGGTGTATCCCAGCCTCTGATATTGTAGGCCATTATAGTTCCATGTCATATGACTTGAAGCGGTTTCAGAAGTGAAGGAGGTGTGATTATTTCATTTCCAGATTGGGATGCTAATGAGTATTCTTTGTAGTTGCTCACGCTCAACCTACCATTGGATTTTCATTTTTAGGGAAGATTTGCATGAGAAAGAATTGCAAATTTCTAATTTACAATTAGAAAAAGATATTGAAGATAACAGGAAGGAACATTTGCTTCTAAGGGTACAGCCTTTAACTGCAGGATATGGCATCTTTGCAACTGGAATCCTATATATCTGACTTACCCGGGTTTAAGCTTATTAAACACAACAAGGTTTCCTTCTCTATGCAGATCAGTTTCACTGAACTCGGAAAAGTAGGCCTCCTATGCAAAGTACTGTACTGCAAATCTGGTTTTGTGGGATTTTGTGTGTGGTAGGTTTCAGTACTATCAAAGCCTATGTTTCATTTCAGTATGATGCAGTATATGGGAAGTGGATTGGATAGTTGCATGATGTTATGTGTTTTTGGTGTGGGAGTTAAGATACAAAGGCCCCTCAAGATGCCCATGTTTTGTTAGTGCACTGATCTGGTGGAGGAACTTGTACTCTAGAAATCTTTGCTTTCAGGGTATAGCTCCAAATATTACATCTTCTTTAAACTTGAGGTTTTTCTTATGTAAGGAAAAAGTGTGTGCTTGGGTGAAAAAGTCCATTATGTGACTAAACCATAGAGAAGCTGTGCAATTATTGTGTGGTGCATTTAGCTTTCGTTAGAGTAATATGTCTTCTAGTTGAGAGACAACTTTAGATTTATTCAAACTCGTGTCTTGTGTACTGAATTTAGTAGTCATTAATCAATGGAATCTCGGGAGCATAGGCTATTGTTACTTTTTCATATTTTTTAATGGATATTTGTTTTCCATAGTTAAACTTCATTGCCAAGTTTGGCCATCTCTGCTGACTTAGGAAATTCAGGAAATTGTGGTCAGAGTGGAGGTGGCTTGGATCTTTTGACATACACCCCTCCCATAAATTTCTGAATGCCCATATCTAGACACACTCTATTCATTATAATAGCAAGCATGGGCCATATGTGTATATGTTCTCAGAAAATTGGAAGATTCAAATACATGTACACATCGTATTTTAGGCACAACATTTCCCAAAGACTATAATCCTATGCATGCTTACTTGGGACCAGCTCTTTTTTCCTAATGATATCAGGGCAGCCCCCTCCCTCCTAGTGTTTAGCAAGATAGTCAAAACCAGGCTCTGGGAGCAGGCGTTTGAAAAATACATTAGTGCAGGAATATTAGTATGGAATATGTACAATTTGATAATGGATTGGCCTTTAGACTACAACTCTGGATGATGTGATTCATTGAAATGTATTTTTATTATGCTTATGTTTTAATTTTTAACTTACGTTTTAACTGATGTTGTATGTTTTAAGGCACAGCGGAGGTGCAGTTATAAGCCTCCTTGAGTCCCCCTCAGGGTAGAGAAAGGTGGGACATAAATAAGGAAAATAAATGAATAATACAATAGCACTTTAAGCAAATTTGCTTCGAGTTGGGTTGTAAAAACAACTGAGACTGTACTTTTCATATTTTCCATAAATTCATTACTTTTTGAAGGCAATGGAATTCACTTCCCAGTAAATGTGTCCAGAATTACTGTTATGTTTTGGATCCCTGGAAATTAAAATCTGGTGATCATATGGTATATTTCCTGACTGTATCTCAGTTCTTGAAACACTTTAGTTAAGCAAGAAACATATTCAGGGGTAGTCATGTTGGTCTTGTAAAAAATGCAACAAAATCTACAAAACAAGTCTTAATTGGGACAACTAAAATGCACAAAATACATAATACAAGCTTTTGAAGTTTCAGAGGGTTCTTTATCAAGCAAAGATGCTAAGAGTCATGCAGGAGAAGAAAAGTGACAATGTCAGAAGCCTACATTTTGTCTCCAGTGTTATTTCTTTTGTCTTGGTCATGTGGGGACTAGGGGCAAGGGTAATAAAATTTCAATTCATTAGCAAGAGGAAAGTAATATCCTTTGAGATCCAGGCAGCTTCTTTCTTAGGCAGAGAATATTGAATTTCACAGGAATTCCCTGCATTATAACATCTGGAAAAACTTTTAGGTGCCATTGTAGTACAAATGAAAGAGTTCTGCTTTTGCTGTTGTTATTCCAGTGTTATGGCAAAGAAGTTGCAGTTGAGAAGAATTACCAAAAGAGTTACTTGCCTCAAGACCTGCCGCTGATGAATTTATTTGAATGAATAACTTTTTCATATAATCCTTACACTGTCCTTACGCTTTTGTTGTTGCTGTGGCCCTATTTTTCCCGTGGAGCCATTCTGCTCTGTTAGCTCAATCTTTTCTGATCACTTGTTTCCCACGGTGTCAAGGTTGTGCATCTATTGACTTGATCATTATATCAAAATGCAGGAGTTCTTTTCCTGTGGAAGTTTTATACAAATTGTTCTTACAAAACATGAAGTGTAGAAGTATTTGCATAACATTTTACCCTCATACATATAGACTTCTAGTTCCAGACTGATACTTGAAGTGGGTTAACCCAGCATTGATGTGCTTTGTTAACATGTACTGTTGTTAAATGCCTTTTCTTGGTGCATTTGGAATAGGCAACTAAAGTATTGCATGAGTCCTCCACGGCACAATCCATCAGTTTGCCCAATATTACTAGTCTTGGTGAAGTCAGCAGGAAACGTGCCAAAAATTAATGTAAAATGTTAGATTGTAATCCTGCCTTTAACAAGTTATAGTGTGTCACAATTTGAAAAGCGAAAAAGTCATGGAGAGTAAATAGAAAGAGGTTTTCTCCACCATTTCTTCCATCCTTTAGTTTCTTCTTTAGAGAGGGAATGGGTTTCTGATGACTGGGGTTAAGAAACTTTCATATAATTCTTCAGATATGTTTGCATAGAGCACAAGTAAGCAACTGTAGCCTTACAGAAGCATTTGGATAACATCACAGTTCATAATCCCTTGCCATTCCCTATGTTGACTGAAGTGGCTGTAAGCCAGTGGTTCTCAACCTGGGGTCACCAGATGTTTTTGGCCTACAACTCCCAGAAATCCCAGCCAGTTTACCAGCTGTTAGGATTTCTGGGAGTTGAAGGCCAAAAACATCTGGGGACCCCAGGTTGAGAACCACTGCTGTAAGCTGTAGTCAAGAAGCAATTGGAAGGCCACAGTTGCTCTGTGTACCAGAGAGTGTGAGTTCTCAATAAACTAGGCACAGCGTACCTCCAATATAAAATACTTGTTCAATAACAGCTCCACAGTATATAACAGATATTACTCCTCAGGCTTCCTCATTTTTAAACCTGGATCAGTTATAGGCCTACAATACTTGAAAGTACCAGTGGTAAGGTTAGAAACTAACTCTCCAAATATTCAGTGGTTCTCAACCTGTGGGTCCCCAGGAGTTTTGGCCTACAACTCCCAGGAATCCCAGTCAGTTTACCAGCTGTTAGGATTTCTGGGAGTTGAAGTCCAAAAACATCTGGGGACCCCAGGTTGAGAACCACTATGTTAGATGTTTTCTATAGATGTCTGTTCTCCAGTGCCTCCATATAAACAAGTTTATTCTTACTTATTCAGTACGTTTTTGTAATAAAAAAGCATCTATATTCATTGTCTATATTCAGTTTCATTTGAAAGTGCTATTAATTTCCATTCATCAAGCCTGATACGTTCCCATTAGAATTCATTGGCAGTCTTCCCAGATAAAAGGCCAAAGAGCTAAAAGGTTATTCCCTGCATTTCCCAGTACTTTTATTGTGAGGCAAGTCTCTATTGATCTATAAAGATGGCAAACTCGTCATTTCTGTCAAAAATTCAGAAGCATTCTGTAAGACAATATCCCAGATAGCTGGCATCTGGTGTAACATTTACGTGGAAATGAACATCGCAAATGAGGCTAGACGTAGCTGTTTGCTAAAATGTATACAATCTTTTAGTTAAATGTTTTCAGCATATGTAGAGGGCTTTATTTGTTTTCAGGAAGGGCAGACGCAAGACATGTTTTCTTTAACCGATGTGCTGTGCTTGGAATCAAATACCATATGCATTGGTAGATTAGGAGGTAAAATTGCAGCCAAATATTCAGTGTTCATTTTTTTCCAGATTGCTTGATTTCTAATTTGCTTCCTTATTTTAATTCCAGACTATCATCATGAGCAATACAAGATTTCTGACTACAGTAATGATGTTAATGGGGAGGCCAAAGAAGTGCAACCGTTTTATTTAGGTATGTTTTTGTCTTGATTGATTTCTAAATGCCACATTTGTGGTGGGTGCATGAGAATTACTGCAGACACGCAGGAAGTGTTTGCCATTGTTTAATTGGGCTTTTTTCCCCTCAAAGGTCTTTCTAATTTTCAGATAGTAAGCTATCTTTTATTAACATTGCTCAAAATGTTGTAATTTGAGACATAAATGTTTATTAGCGTCTACACACAGTGCTAATTATCACTCACCCATAGAACCAGATGCTGACTGTGCAGTTTTGTAACTCTGTGCTCTACCCATTTACATTGCATATTTGCAGGGATGCTTCACTGGCAATAGTTTGTGTAATTGGGGTATTACATCTTTGACATCTGGGTAACAGAAATTCAATTTCCAGGAAGCCACTATTTGTTTGGTTTTGCTTTAGCTGTGGAAGGAATTAATGTGTTGTCTTAATTTAATGTCCCTTCACCTCTGCAAGCATGTCACTTTTCCTAACCGTAGCAAAATTAAATTAAATCAGCTGTCCAAAATGTGCAAGGAATATACTGAAATATTACATTTTGACAAATGAAAACTTGATAGTACTTCATCAGGGCATTACTAATTGTTTTCATTATTGCTCCTGCTATGATTCTGTCCCTTCGTATCTCAGTATTCCTGCCTGCCTCATACTTGCAATATTGTGGAGGAATTCAGAATTACTTCTGGTTATTTTGTCTCCTCAGTTTGAATGATTCAAAAATTCTCCTCTGCAGAAGAACCAGTTATATTAGAGTTCACTGGGATTTAACGATGCCTTGCATTGTATAGATGAATCCTTGCAGAAATAACCAGTATTAATTTGCATTAATTTTAATTCAGGGCTACCATTTGGATTTAAACACATAGATCCAGAACATGGCTGGTATTTCATCAAACTAATTGCTATGCTTGATGCCATTTAGGTTCTCCCTCATCCCCCTAACCCTGTTCCAAAATTGCACTATGATCCTGCTGATCCATTGGTGTCATTACTGATGGACTGATAAAATGGATCAAAATGGAAAGTGTGATTGTCACCAAAGAGACTGTATGAAAGCAGTGGGCCCTAAATTATTTTGATAGAAGAAAAATTGGAATATGTGTAGCAATGGTGGTAGTATGGTGCAGATAGTTGTGGCTGTTCCCTGCTTTAGATATTTTTCTCTGTATTTGTTTCTTAAAGTAATATGTAGAAAGGTCGTTTATATTTGTGTTTTTTCTGTGTTTGCTTTTGGTCAGGAAGATTGTATTAGATGTGTCCTTGAGGAATATTGTTATGTTTTATCATGTGGTCATGCAAACAACTGATGATGTTTATTTTATAGAATTAGATTTTCTTTTTTTAATTGTATTTAAGCTTTTAATCATATTATTTAAAATTTATTTCATCTAGTGCATATACACATAAAGGCATCACATAGTCATATTCTTGAATATTGATGTTAACAATTATATATGTTTATATAATTGTTAACCTCAATATAATTTATGGAATTAGACGTTCTGACCCACCAACAAAACTCCATGGAGCCGTTCTTTTAACGGACCTTCACTACTATGACCTATAACTTTGAAATATACTTTGTCATTCTGAAGAGTCATCATGCTTACATTTTCTTCTGCCTTTTGTGGAATGCATTGCTGTTTGTAAGCATGGGGAAATGCAGACATTTTGTAAACACTTTTTACAATGAATTCAGATCCCGCTTTTGAAAGGTTAATGCAGAAAACTAATTATGCCATCCTGGTAACAAAATGTGTGATGAGACATTTATCTGTGTAATTAAAAATGAAGAACTTTATGGTTTCATAAAATGGAATGCTACACTGCATGCAGTCTTTGCTGTGCATTTATTTTGAAGAGGTGCCGAAAGCAGAGATGTTTATGACTGATATAAAAATGGACTGAAATATGCTGTAGTGCAGGTGCCTGTGTGTTTTACAACACTTTTGTTTTGATGAATTAGACTTTGGCAGACTAATAACTTTGCTTTGTCAAGGTAGAATAAGCAAAGTAGACTTGCAGTGAGGATTGCACAGCACAATCCTTTACATGTATGCTCAGAGATAAGTATTAAGTAAGGTTTGTGGTGCATACTCCCAGTTAAGTGGGTATCAAATTACAGCCTGAAAATCTCCAAGGCAGCCCTTTTAATCATCATCAGGGCATTTTATCAGAAGTCCAGGTCAGAGATAGCATTGTTATGTACTTCATCAAATGTAACCCCTCCCCTCAAAGTAAAAAAGATTGCACAGGCTGGAATTGGCCTAACCATTCTGTTTCAAACATTATTTATGAAAGGGCATGCAGTATACAAGGTGCATTATTGAAATAAAGATACTCAGAGCCCTCTCCATAGCTACTTGATCTCATGTTGTCTAGTGTTCTTTGCCTTATGTCCCCATGGTTGATTAAAAAAGAACCACTTGAGTGACTGAATGTGCTTTCAGACCCAAGTCTGAAATGTGTGTTTAGTATAAAAATGCCCCATGCCCACAGGTATAGAATCAAGGATATTCTTCAAACCCAAATGTCAAGAGCCAGAAAAACACATGTTCAGATGAGTTGGAACATTTGTCCTTTGTCTTTTGGATTTTTGTCTTTTGGAAGAAACATTGTAAGCAACTGCCTCATAAAGTATTACTATTTTATCAATTAAAAAACCCTATATAATATAGTAGTTGGATAATATAGCACTTAGGGATATTGCTTAGAACTCTTCAGGTGATAACATTGTAAAATAACCATCTTGTGGTTGTAGATATATGTGAATTCTACAACAAAACATGATTCTGGGGGAATAAAATGACTGGATGGAAGTTTGGTTCAATGGGATGAAAACAAAACTGTCTATCTTTGGACTGAAGTGACTGCTCAAACTAGATAGCAAGCAAATAGTGTGGTGGAACTATATGTGGGATTATATTGGAGATCTGAATGGCAACACGTTTGTAGTGTCAGCTACATTGTAAATGTAAAATACCTTATGTATTCTACAAAACAAAATTGTTCTTGTCCAATTTGCATTGATTTATAACCTACTTCTGTCCAACATCTTAAGCACATGTCCTACATATGTCCATTCAAAATGAATGGAAGTCACATAAGATTGAAGTTTGTGTTCTTTGTAACTCCTAAGAAACACATGTAGATGCAGTTTTCAGTGAATTTATAACTCTCTGTCTGTAGCTAAATTAACCTTGCTCTTATCAGCTTAAGCATAACAATCTAAGATGAGCCATGATGGATTAGATCTATGTAGCAACAGACCAGATGACTAGGTTGCCAGATCCACTTCTTATTTTGCCCTGTGACATACATACCTAGAGAAGGACTGGTTAAAAATAGTTAAAAATCTCTCTCTCTCTCTTCATTTTTATCAGCAAGACTGATTTAAGATTCAAGATCACCAGTCCTGGTATTTTTTCAATTAAGAAATTGAATATACAATATAGAAAGAATCTAAGTAGTTGTTTAGTTATTGTTGTTGAGGTTTTCACAATGCAGTTAAAAATGAAGGTAAGTGAGCTATTTGTGTTTAAATATAGATTGTTTCAAAAATTTGCAGTCATTTCTACTCCGCCCATCTGCCTCCATTCAAATGGCTAGAAGTTGTGATTTAATTGTGTAATGACAGTTTTGCACATCCAAGATAAGTCATTCCTGGCCACATAAAGCATATTAGATTAACAGAGTTGGAGGATTTTTCCCAGTCAGAAATGTTATTCGGTGTAGTAGCTGTTGTTATTAAGTTTATTTATACTCTGCCTTTTCTCTCCAGAAAAGAGACACAAAGTGGTTTATATTAAAAGCATTTGAATACATCTTAAAATCTATAGAAGTATACAAACTTTAAAACAGAGGTAAATATCAATAGTGTTAAACATTCACAGTTAAAATCCATAAAAAAACAATTGAAAACCTAAAACCACAGCACCCTCTGACTTGATCTTTAAAACTTTCTTTAAAAGCCTGCCTGAATAAAAAGGCTTTAGCCTAATGCCGGAAGGATAACAGGGAGGGGGCCATTTAGCTTCTGTGGGAGTTCAGAGTCAAAGAGCAGCCACCGAGAAGGCCCACTCTCTCATTCCCACCAACCGAGATTGTGATGGAAGTGGGACCAAGAGAAGAGTCCTGATTTCAGGGCCCAGACAGGTTCGTACAGGGAGGTGTGGTCAGCCAAATAGCCTGGACTCTGAGCCTTTTAGGATTTTAAAGGTTGTAAACAGCACTTTGAATTGTGCCCAGAAGCAAACTGGTACTGATTGCAGCTACTGCAACCAGCCCCAGTTAGCAACCTGGCTGCTGCTCTTTGGACCAGCTGAAGTTTCCGAGCACTCTTCAAAGGCATCCCCACATAGAGCTTGTTACTTCAATCCAGACGGGATGTAACTAAGACATTGACCACTGTGGCCAGATCCAGCTTCTCAAGGAACGGGCACAGTTGGTACACAAATTTTAATTGTACAAAGGCCCTCCTGGCCACTGCCTCCAGGTTCATCGCTGAGTCCAGGAGTACCAAACTGCTGACCTGTGTCTTCAGGGCAAGTGTGACCTCATCCAACACAGGCTGGGTCCCTATTCCCTGATCTGTATTCCAGCGGAGCACCTCTGTCTTGACTGGGTTAAGTTTTCAGTTTGTTTGCTCATACAGTCCATTACTGATGACAGGAACTGGTTAGGGTCAGGACGGCTTTAGGTAGGAAGAAATAGTAGTAGTAGTAGTAGTAGTAGTAGTAGTAGTAGCTGTCAAATTGATGGGAGTTGTGGGAAATGAGTAAGCTTTCCTGATACCTGTGCTCCTTTGTTGCTTTGTACAAACTAGGCTTAATGGAGTTTCCTACGAGTTTCCTCGTAAATGCAAAAAACACTACCAGGAATTACCAAACACATGCAAATCTCTAGTAATCTCTGACTGCCCTTGACAGTGTGGCAGAATGTAGGTGAGGTCTGAGTGGCCTTATTTTGCCCACAGAAAGCTGAAACTTTACCTG